CCAAATATGTAATTATCCAAAATGGGTGACTTTGTCTTGGAGGACAGAGACCTTATTTTCTGGCTCTTGTGCCTCTGTTCGTTGTCCCTATAACTTTCCATTGAGTTTCTAATGAGTAAGTGGATAGATCTGTCCAAATTTGCCAAGGGCTTACCCTCTCTAGTCTTTCAATCAAAAATTGTAGTGATCATAATATTCTAGGGACAATTAAAATGCACCAAATTTGAGAAGTGAAAAAAATATATATCTAAGCTCCTGCCCTCAAAGGGTTTCAGGCTTTGTGGTAAGACAAACAAGCGCAGATACTCATGCAGCCTGTATACTGTGTAACATGGCAGTGGAGGGTTCTTCAAGGTTCAGTAGGAACACAAGGAAACAGTACGGATGTATCTGGACAGTTTCAGGTAGACATCCCTCTGATGATATTCTTGAGCCAAGGTCAAAGAAAACAATATGTCAGATTTTAAGGATGAAAAACATGCACCAAAAATGTCCAAGTAATTTATCTGTGGTTTGGTAAACACATCTTTTCATGTTTAAATTGTTATTCAAAAAAAGCAATATGTTCATGTTGAAAGAAAAGTGTCTTTGGCTTGATGTTTGTCCTCAGAGAACGTCTAGACTTGAATGGAATAGAAAGTGTAATAAAAACTGCCTGAAGGACTTGAAGAAATGGCCGAGTTAAGTTTATCAAGAGCATCATCTGAGTTTGCAGACTCAGTGGCATTTAGGGAATGAAGCAGTGACGTGAGCTGGTCAGTCAGTGCGGGCCTCAGCAAGAGCTCCGGCTGCTGGAAGTCAGTGAGCAAAGCTGCTGACATTGGACAACCCAGGCTTATGGAGCCTAATGGATTATCTGGATATTGGTAGGTGATCTTAAGGCTTAGCAAAACAATGCTGAAACTCCCGGCCAACTCCAACTAAGGTTTTGATAGAAAACTTGACTATCTTCAGCAGTTAGCACTGTTTCAGATTGTGTTTGCTTTTGCTTTTAGGCAGATTTAACAGAGAAGCAGAGACAGAATGAGAAACTGGAAGGTGGATTCACCAAGGGCTTAGGGGGAAATGGGAAGCTGTACAGAGAAGTATGGCAATCAGAAAGGAGAAGGACTAAGGTTTAACTGAAATGTCACAAGGATAAGAAACATGCACAATCTGTTGGCTTCTGCCATTGCCACAATGCTGAGGTAGACACCTGGGTGAGGCCAGCTGTTACAACTTTTCTGCCTTCAGTTTTTTCATTTCTTCTTCTAGTCAAATAATTTTTGTTACGTTCTCTACATTTAACAACAGATTCAGATAAGCTGTAGGTTGTCCGGCCTTTCTGGCCAGATTTCTGGATTTGTAACGAAACTTGTGTCACACATCAGGTCCCTGTAAGTATTCGGGTGTAGCCTCCTGTTCTGGATAAAATGTTTGTCTGTCCGAGTCAGTGATCCGGTGCCGTGGCTCACTCTCACAGTCCCTAAGCAGACTTCTGTGAACAGATAGAATCAACTTGCTGTTTATGAAAGAGAAACGGTAATACCGCCTTAAGTACTGTGTAAATCACCGGCTCAGTTATGCAGGACAAGAGAAGAAGTGAAAGGCCTTGGACAGGGGGTTGACTCGGATGAGGCAGGTAGTGTTGGAGCTAGAGAAAAGTAAATGGATTAGGTGAGCTTTGGGAAGAGGCAGCTTGCAGAGTTACTGAATGTGTTTGATGGCCCTTCCAGAAATTCTACCAATTAGAAATTCACTGGGTTTGTGAGCCTCTTTTATGAAAATGCAAATGCATCTAAGAGGTTTATGATTGGGATGAGGGCATAATTTAGGCCGAATTAGTTCCATCAGCTTACTTTCTGCGAGCACCTCTTTGAAGTGAGTTATAGTAAAGAAATGAGAGTTTTACTTGAGGAAATAATATTTTGCATTAGGAATATAATTGCATGGGGCACAGACAGGGAGTCTTTAAGATGGCGAAGCATCAAGGAGTCTTGAGAAATAACAAATAAAAGCTGCCAGGGTCTGAGAACACACAGAACAAAACATCTGGGTCTTCTCGGAAAGGTAGCTTGAATGTTAAAACTAGATTATTGAAGACAATCATTAGCATCCCCTCAGATAAGAAATTAGCATTAGCCGATGTTTAAAAATATTTTAAAGGATGCTTTATATTGCTCAGTGAATATCATCCATAATTTTTTAATACTCTACTATATTTAAATGCTACAGTACTTGGTAGACTTCATCTACGATTTTCCTGTTTTCTTTATGGGTTCATTTAAAAAAGATAAGGATATAGATATAAAATGTTTAAAATGCACTATATTTCAAGCTGCATATGAAAGCCAGTGCTCACAGCCAAGACAAAACCACCACAAAAAAAGAGTTGTGGCCAAGGTTTGGCACACTGCGAACCAGCTCTCCTCGGCTGGTGATGTTGCAACAGGAGCAAATGCAGCAACCCAAGGACCCAGGAAAACAGCTCTCACGCTTACTGAGGTTGTGTTTCTCAAGGGGGAAGGAAGATTTTTCATATCTAAGAAAACAAAGACTTAAAGAACATTAGCAAAAACATTAGCAACAAGTTCAGGCCAACTAAAAAAACTACGAAGCTTTTTTTTTTTTTAAAGGCAAAGCATTTTTAAATGGCATGATAAAAATAAACGTTTGGGTTAGTCAGTAAAAATTCCATGGATGTGTGCCCTTCAATGTGAGTCACAAGTCTAAAGTCAGGTACCCTCTGGTTATGGAACAGAACAGCCTGTGTTGGCCTTGCACGCCGTCTCCCATCACCCCTGGACAGCTTGCCAAAACTCTGTCCTGCCTCCCTTGTACCGATCCCAGCTGCATCCACCAGTTGGCCATCCTGCTTTCTCAACATCTCTGTCTCTGCCCTCCATGAAGAACAAAGCCAGGGACAGCCTGGGCGGGAAAAAGCACAGTGGAATCCTGCAGCCTCAGTATGCTTCCCCGTTGCCCGATCTGGCATTGTCACAGACGAGAACACGGTAACACAAGGACATCTTAGGGCTTGCTCAGACTTAGGCCCTGCCAGAGTTCCTGGGTTGGAACTTTCTCAGGATTCTTCTCAGAAATGGCTGCTGGCACACCTCTGTCCATCTCTCAGCTGTGTGCACATTTTGCTAACAAAAGCGTTGACACTACTTTGAATTGCCTTTTGAAAGATATTTACATAGAAGATAGACATAAAAACGAGAGCTGGTATCTTAGCTCTAAAATAGAGGGAAAGTTTATGTCTTGTCCATTCTGACAAAAATAATGTCTCTCTCTGGTGCAAAGACCTAAGCTCTCGAAGCTCAGGCTTCCCCCTCGTGAAACGCAGACCTGTGAGAGGAGTCGCCTGGTAAGCCAGGCGAATCAGGGTTCCACTAGTACAAATGTTGCTAGTTGGGCTACTGGTTGCTCTAAGAAGTCATTTATCTCGGACTCCTGCAACCCCTGCCGTCTGCTGACAGTGATGACACTGAGGCAAACCGACTCGTGGCCGCAGAGGCAGAGCCAGGATCTCTGACCTCTGGTGGTTTTTGACAGAATCATAACATTTTAGTGATGATCAATCAAAGACAGAGACCAGAGCCAATTAAATGCTAGGAGATCTATTCTTTGAGTGTGCAAACCTAGGATTATATAATTACCAGTTTTGGAGCAATGCATGTTTGCTCTAAAACATACGCTTCTTATCACTCCTTATAGATTAAACTACCACAATTCCCTAAGATCAAGCCACACAGCCAATGGGTAGCAGGGCTGAAACCTCCACTTGTGTGTTTTGTTGATCTCCAAATCAAACATACCTCAAAATGGTGTAGATCATTTTTACTCTAAATAAAATGTCTAGATTATACAGTGTTATTGCTTAGTTTTACTATCTTACCTTTTTAATAACATTATAAATTTATGTTGCTACCTAATCTGTATTCAGTATTAAATATTAAACATTCACATTAAGCAAAATATTTCTGGTTTTGTAAACACTGAGTTTATATCATATACTCACAGTAGTAATCTACAACAAAAGCTACTGCTTATAAAATTTAGATCAGACAATAATGTATAGATCTATTCCTTTAAAACCATACATCTAGGAAAATTATCCTCAAGTGGAGAGAGAAAATGCTAGGGGAAATAATTCCATTTAAAATGTTGCTGTGCAACTGTTTTACAGTCATGGGGATAAACAAGAAATTAACATAGCAGATAGAGTGGTAAGCAACAGTGTTCTGGACTTGATGTCCAGGACTTACAGATGTTTTTAAGAACAAAAAGTATTTAAAATGAAAGAAGGGAGAAAATATTTGTTTCTTCCATGGGAGCAAAATGTCAAATATAAGCTTATATAAGATTTGTTTGGAAAGTATTAAAACACATACCAACAACATAAAGAAAACCTTACTTTAGAAGCCTCTAGGTTCTATTTAAAATAGATTTTTTGGATTGCTTTAACTAAATAATTTCTAAATATTTATCAATATCCTACTAATGAAAATTATTTGACTTGTTTGTCGCAAATTTGTAAATTAAAAAAATTCCAGCTAGAATAAACACTAAAGAGCTGCAGATAATGGAACCAACTGCACTGTCACAGCAAACGATCCGCACGTGTACTGATATTGTCATAGAACACAGAACCCCGTTCACGGATATTTATTTTGGACATATATCTTAAATGAAAAGTTGAATTAGTGACTCATCTGTATTTTATATCTGTTAGGATAAAAAATCAGCTATCATTTAAAAGCAAACAGGAAAGAATAAAAGATATACTCATCTAGCAAATTAGAAGACAAAACAAAACGAAACACCAACGCTGCATTTGCATCTCTTGCTCTCAAAGTCTTACCTTCGGCAAAACTGTTCAATGTGGAAGATTCCCGATAGCAGAACTGATAGACTAAAGAAGGGAAGACACTGATCTAAGACTGAGTCAGCTGGTGTCTGCTAGGGAAGCCTGCATTGCACACATGTTTAGGCACAGGGAGCAAAATAAAGATTACCTGGAAATCTTCTCATTATTTGACATAATCCTTTCTTTCTGCAAAGATGGTACTGTATCTCTGGCATTACATTTACCTAAAAGAAATGAACAATGCTCCAGTGAGTCAATTATTTATAGATGCTAAAGCAAAGAAAATCCGAGAAGGCAGAAAGTTTCAGTGTGTGGCTTTGCCCACCCTCTCCAAGCACTCCCCTTAAATATCAGCCAATCCAGTGCTTTTAGAGGTTTATTTGACAGCAAAAAATAAAAATTCACCCCTAAACAAGGTCAACTATTTAAGCATACTTTCAAATTCTTTTTTTTTCAAAGCTATTTGCTTGCTATGAATAGAAATATGGTGAATATAGTAACACAAATAACTGGATAGCTGCACGTTTGCTTAGCAAAAATCACACCAAATATGTCTCAAAGTTAAATAAGCTACCAACTGCAAGGGCTCTCAGTGATATGAATCACATAAGTATCTAATGAGAACTCAGTGTTAAATCTGTTTTACAATTTCATGCACAATCTTCATCTCATTGTGAAGACAGAAATTTTGTTTTAACCAAAATCCATTCTTTGAATGATTTATAAATGCTATCTTAAATTAAAATGTAAGTTTTTTTTATAAGGCAACGGTACAAATACATTTAATCCTTCTCTCGTGAATTAACAGTTATCAACTAAATTCCAAAACGAATGCCAAACAGGAAGTCTAGTTAAAACCAACACAGAAAAATCAGTGCAAGTCAGTTTGAAATCAGATTTGGTTTTTAACCATAACTGATTCCTTTTAGTGCTTTTTAAAAGATTTATTCCTTTGAAAAGTAGAGAGAAAAAATCTACTGACTTACTCAACAGATCGCCACAAGAACTGTGGCTAAGCCTGGCCACAGTCAGCACCCAAAAGCTTCATCTGTGTCTCCCACGTGGGTGGCAGGGTCCCTACCACTTGGGCCATCTTCTGCTGGGTTTTTTTGCAGGCCATTATTAATTCAGAGCTGGATCAAAGTGGAGTAGCTCAAGCATGAACCAGTGCCCATACGGGATGGTGTCCCAGGTTTAACTTGCTGGTTACAAGGCTGACCTTCATTGATAACCTTGAAGTTAATTAAATCAGTAGCTGGCTTTCAGAGTCCTAATTAAGACACCGATTAGAATGCCAGCAGCCCACCTTGGAGCACCTGGGTTCAATTCCCACCTCTGCCACCTGGCTCCAGCTTTTTATTCCTGCTGACCCTACGGGGCAACTGTGATGAAGCAAGCTCCTGCTGCTCCGCTGGGAGCCTTGGCTTGTTCGTGACCCCAGACACTGCAGGGAGCAGATCAGGGGCTAGAAGCTCTTTCTGTCCTGTCTCTGCCTCCCAAATGGCTAAAATAAATTTTAAAATAATTACAAAACAGGTTGATGTTAGCTTGGTACTGTGGCTTGTCCACTGTGTTCTACTGACGTGGCTGGATAAAAAGAATTCAGCTGCAGTTGGAAAAGAAAGCGGTCACAGGAAACAGGCTTCAGTCCCACTTCCAGCATGTCACAACTACAACATTGAACAGACCACTTGGCTCCCTTCGTCAGTTTCCTCTTTTGTAAAATAAAGCATTTACATCCTTTGATCTTCACGTTTCATTTTTGCTTTATGATTTTAATGATTCTATACTAAACCATATATTTAAAAGAGTGATTCGGTCCAGCACCATGGCTCAATGGGGGTAATCCTCCACCTGCTAGGGCCAGCGTCCCATACGGACCCCAGTAACAGCTGCTCCATTTCCAATTCACCTCCCTGCTTATTGCCTTGGAAAGCAGCATAGGATGGCACAGAGCCCTGGGCCCCTGCACCCAAGTAAGAGGCCTGGAAGGAGCTCCTGGCCCCTGGCTTTGGATTGGCACAGCTCTGGCCATTTTAGCATCTGGGGAGTAAATCAGCAGCTGTCTCTTTCTCTCTATAAAAATCTTCCTTTCAAATAAAAGATAGTAAATCTTAGAAACAAAAAAGAAGAAGAAAGGAAAAGAAAAGCAATCAAAATGCCAAAAAATACCAGAAAAAAGTAGACATTTAGAAAGTGCTTAGATTATCAAAGCAGGCCCTTTGTACATGGGATTCATGCGTGTATAGCAGAAGCTTCAAGAATGAGGCTCTGTTCTAGCAGCGAAGAGGGCGACCTAGCCCAAGTTCCACAGCAGAGTCCCTGGGTTCAAAGCCTAACCCCGCCAGCTGAATCCAGTTTCCTGCTGTTGTGGACACTGGGAGAAAGCAGGGATAGGGCAAGTCAGGGGTTCGTTTTCCCCATGTGGGTAACCCAGGTTGAATTCTCACACTCAGCTTTGGCTCTGCTGCTACTATGGCTGTAGATGGCACTGGGGGATGGACCAAACAAATCTAAAAACATGTTTGCGAAAATAATCATTATCATGTACATAAACACAGTCACAACAGGAAGAAGCTTTGGAGAGCCACCTGACCGGTCAGGCTTTCCGCTCTCTACCGTGTCACTTCTGTGCAAGAAAGCTTCCTTGCAGAGGCAGAGGGCAGCCTCCGGGAGGCAGCAAACCTGTGGCTACCTTAGCCTCCTGCTTCCCACCCTCCTGAGCGAAGAAGAAGACGTGTGGCTTACAAATGACCCCCTCTCAAGTGTTTTGTTGTAGTTGCCCAAATGGACCAAGACAAAGGAATTTCTTAAATCACCCAACTCCAGTTCATAAAGTTTAGGAAGGGCTAGCAAAAAGCAGCCATACAGAATTCAAAATGAAAGTTTGCTTATTTTTGTTAAGATTTATCTTTTATTAGAAAGGAAGATCTACAAAGAGAAGGAGATACAGAGAGAATGATCTTCTGTCTGCTGGTTCACCCCCCAGGTGACTGCAGTGGCCAGAGCTGAGGCAATATGAAACCAGCAGCCAGGAGCTTCTTCTGGGTCTCCCATGGGGGTGCAGGGTCCCAAGACTTTAGGCCGTCCTCCACTACTTTCTCAGGCCACAAACAGGGAGCTAGATGGCAAGTGGAGCAGCCAGAACATGAACCAGCACCCATATGGGATCCCAGCACTAGAAGGAAGAAGATGAGCCAATTGAGCCATTGTGCCAGATCCTGTTTGTTTATGTTTTAAAGAATTATTCTATTTATTTGAAAGACATTGAGAGAGAGACAGAAATGGCTACAATAGACAGGGTTAGGCCAGAGAGAATCCAGTAGTTAAGAATTCCTTTAGGATATCCCACTTGGGTGCAGGAGTCCAAGTTCCTGGGGCATCTTCCATTGCTCCCCAGGCGCATTAGCAGGGAGCTGGACCAGAATTCGAGCAGCTGCAACTTGAATCAGTGCCCACATGAGATGCCTGTGTCACATGGGGGAGATGTTACCCACTATATTGTAACATCACATCTCTTGTTTATTTTTTTTAGAGTAGCATACAACGTACTTAAAAAAGACTGCAAATAGCATCCAAAGTCAATGCAATTGAACTTTTTTACTGCCAAAGGCAAATTACTCAGTTGTTAGTGACTTAATAGAATCTTTAATAGATTCTAGGAGAGAAAAGCAGCCCCTGGCAAGGAACATCCCAAGCTGAGAGCTGATTTGGGTCAGAGCGAATGTGCGGCCACTGTGGGGAGCTGGGGTGCCTTGACTATGGGGCTTGATCCTATACCAACTGAAAACAATGAATAATCCCAGAAAAATGGATGATAATAATGGAACTAGTGAGCCAGAAGAATTTACGTGGCTGTTGCAATGTGTAGTATGCACAGATTTCAGACAGAAGGGCAGGTTGCTGTACCATATCACAGATAACTTCTCATGGGGGGCCATGGGTCAGAAAGAACTAATGCAGAATCAACACAGTTCACAAAGCACTGGTTTCAAGAACTCAGAGCCAGGGTGGGCATTATGTGGGGTTGCCACAAATGCCAACCCCACAGTACCCATGGTGCACTGGTTCAAGGACTCTTGCAGACACGCAAATCCACTGATGCACATTTGCCTTACATAATATGGCATACATGTAACCCAAAGAATCCTCTCATGTACTTCAACTCATGGCTCGATGGCTCACAAGCAATAGCTAATGCAGTGCAATCGCTATATAAACAGCTGTTCCATTACATTGTTTAGAGAACACGAAAAAGGAAAAGATTGGGGGCTGGCATTTGGCCTAATAAAAAAGACATGGTTTGGGTTATCCATACCCTGTAAGGGAGTGTCTAGGGTGGAGTGCTGGCTTCACTTCTGATTTCAGCTGCCTACTAATGTGTACCCTGGAAGGCCACAGGTGACAACTGAAGCAGCGAGACCCCTGCTACTCATGGGGGACACCTGGCTTCAGCCCCAGACTCCTGGCTGTGACTAAGCCCTAGCCCCAGTCATTGAGGGCATTTGGGCAGTGAATCAGCAGGTGGGAGTGCTGTCTACCTTTCTGTCTTTCTAACTCAGCGCCTGCTACTCTATCATTTATTATCCATCTATCTTTGAAGTGAAATAAATGGTGGATAGAGTTTGAATCTTACCCAGTAAAACAACAAAACAGCAGCAACAGAAGCTGAGAGAGATTCTATCAAATGAAAAATGCTGACAGTTTCAAGCCAAACTGCACAAGGTATGGCCAGTTGGAACATTCTTCATGGATACAAGGTTCTAAGTTTTCCAGACTTTCTAAAAAGCAGGAGAGACCCAGAGATAGAATGCTATCATCCACAGACTTCATCCAATCCAGGCACACGGGGAAGAGCTTTACCTTCTGATGAGGGCCTAGCTGGCACATGTCTTCCTCGGATAAGCAGGGCTGCCCGTCGGCTTTCCTAGAGGACAGGCAAATGAGCAGATCCATAGAGCCCAAATCACCTAAAAGCAAAAGAATATCAGAAAACAAACAATTTTTCATCACATGTATAAAGCATCATACAATACATAAGATCAAAGAAGGCAATTATTTAAATTCTAAAACAGATCATTGAATATTTAAAGGAACATAAATTCAACTTTATTGTAGCAGACCTAAAACCACGACACATAGTATTTTATTAGAATGAATGTAATTATGTGAAGACAGATTACCAGATCTTTTTAAAAATCTAAAATTAGGATTCTTTAAGTAATTATAAAGTCTAACATGGATATTGGGAGAAAAGAATCATAAAATCTTTCCTGATAAAGGAAATCTGTGAAATCAAATAATGATCTGAAATCAAAACATTGACTATTTTGTTCTGGGCTTAGAAGGCACCATTAGTTTTCTGAGGTCTAAATATCAAATATACTTTTACAAGATTTATTACAAAGAAAAATTTATGCTGGGTAGAAAATTCAATGAAAATAAAGAGCACAGGTTGGCATATAAGGAATTTGTGATCTAGTTATAGACAGAAGAACAGAGTTCAAAATTCAGTGTACAACATAGACCAAAGCAGATATTTTAGCTCTTTCACCAGACAGAGAGTTCTGCCAATAAACCACACCAACTTGCCAAAAATAAGCTCAAAAGAGTACATTCTTGCACAACACCTGCATATTTTAAGGGATCATTTGTTCTTATTTATATGTCCACATGGATTACATATAATTGATGCCTCCAAAATACTTTTGAATGAATGAATGGCCCCTGACAGGATGGCAAATATGTCACCAGATGGATGCAGTAAGAAACAAACGGAAGAAATGCCCTTCCTTTTTTTTAATGCTACTCACAGAAAACATACAAGAACAAAAACCCCACTGTGGATAATACGCAACAGAACTGTCACTACCTGGGAAGCTTTCTCTATTTTGCATTGAAATCTTTTCAAAAAGGACAATTTCAGACACACATGTCTCTTTTAATCAATCCTGAGATAAATGTTCCTTCAAGTAACTATATACGCCAGACTTCATCAATCATTTCCTACATTAGATTCAAGTGACCTTTAGAAAGCTAGGAACTAACTATCTAAAAATCTTGTCTTTCTGAACTTCCAAGAATTTCTCATGTGAGGGGTCTAACACTTGCAAAGCAAAACTTTAGGAAAGAAAAAGATTCATAAGGAAGAGAGATATGGAAGACGTAGGAATGAAATTTTACGGTGTCCCTTCCGATTTTTTTTTCAAAAATATTCTTATTTTAAAGTCAGAAAGAGAGAGAGATTGAGCACTGGTTCTCTTCCCCAAATGACTGCAGTGGCTGGGGCTGGGCGAGGCCTAAGCCAAGGGGCTGTCATTCCTTGTGAGCTTCCCGTGTGGGGGCAGGCACCCGGGAGCATCATTAGTGCTCTGGACTGGAAGTGGAGCAAGAGAAACACAAACTGGCACTCGCCCGGGACTCTGGCATCACAGAATCTGAACCACTGCACCACTGCATCGGTCCCAGCCCTCATGCAGTCAAAGCTATTGATTCCTCAATATTTCTAAGTTATTTAATTTAAAAAAAATTATTGATTCACAGGTGACAGTCATTTTTACAGGGTACAGTGCAACATTTCAACACACATATATAGCATCAAGTGGTCACACCAGGCAATTTGTTTTTCTATTTTCTTATTGTTTGGAGTTTCTCTTTCAGTTCATCACACAGAACAAAATGCAACAACGTGAACTGTAATCACCTCCCTATGCTACGAGACACTATAATATTAGAAATAAACACTATATATGTTACAAGTAAATATAAACAATTTCTTACTTGTTTACACATATTCTAACCCTACTTACCTTTCTCACTCACACTCCCCAATTTCTAATAATTGGTATTCTAAATTCAGATCTGTGCTTCTTTAACTTCTACATCTTAGAATTTTTGGCATTTATCTTTTTGTGCTAAGCTGATTTCAGTTAACATGTTCATATCCAGTTCCATGTGCTTTGCTCCCAGTGGCAGGATTCCTTTTTTTTTTTTAACCACTGAATATATTGCTTTATATATACTCTCTTTATGATTCATCCATCAGAAGACATCCAAGGTTTTTATGTTTAATGTAATAGTTGATAAACTAGTTATGCCCAAACCCACAACAGAGTACGTAGGGGTGATAACTGGGCCAGAATACTGACTCCAATTTCATGCTAGTATAGAACTATGAGATAGTTACGATGGCTCAAATAATTGGTTCCTTGTCACCCACATGGAAACCTGGAATACATCTGCAGCATCTGATTTTGGTCCAGCCCAGACCAGCTGCAGCCACTGCAGGAATAAACCAGAGCTTTTTGATTCTCACTTTTGCTTTTACTCTCACAACCAATAAAACAGTAATAAATAAATATTTTAAAATATTAATTTCTTTCTCAGTAAATATATTATTTGTGAATAAACTGCTACTGATTTGGTGATGTTGATTTTGTAGGCTGCAACTTAATTGAATTTATTTATTAGCATTAATTAGTCTCTTGGAATCTTCAGCTTTCTGCCCCCACAGAATGACACATCCTGGTTATTTTGAATAACTGTGGTGACAGTGGGTATCCTTGTCTGGTTCCAGATGTTAATGGAAAAGCTTCTAATTTCCCACTATCCAATGTGATGCTGGCTTTGGGATAACCATATTTCCCCTTGACTGTGTTAAGGTCTTTGCATACCAGGATAAAGCCCAACTGGTCTAAGTGGATAATATTGCTGATGTGTTACTAAATTCAGTTGGCTAGTATTTCGTTAAGGATTTTTGCGTCTTTGTTCATCAGAAATATTGGTCCATTGGTCTCTTTGTTTGCTGTATCTGTCACTGGTTTGGGGAATTATGGTGATTCTGACCCTATTTGGGAGAATTCCTTCCTTTTAAATTGCCTTGACTAGTTTGAGAATGATACTTGGTACTTCTTGGAAAGCTTGGTCAAGTCCTGCAGTGAAACCTTCAGCTTCAATCTATATTCATTTGGGAGCCTGTTCTATAGTTTTCTTTTTGTTGCTGTTGCTGTTGTCTCTGTATCCCTGGAATTTTGTTTCTTTGTTTTCGGTCACGTCTTTACATTTTTGCTGTTGTATCATGACTGGTTTGGGAATCAAGGAATGATGGTCACAGAATGAATTGGAAGTGTTCCTTCCCTTTCACTGTTTTTGGAATAACTTGAGATGAATTAGTGTTAGTTCTTTCTTAAAGGTTTGATGATTTAAGCAGTGAAGTTATCTGATCTACTGGGCGGCTTTTGATTATTGATTCAGTCTCAACACTTATTATTGGTCTATTTAGTTTATGTCTTCATAGTTCAATTTTAGGATAATACCTGTATTGAGTAATTTATTCCTTTCTTCCTGGCATTTATTTGTTCATAATATTCCTTAATGAACCTCTCTGTATCATATCTGATATCAGTTGTGATGCCTACTTTTTCATTTTCAGTTTTATCTGTTGGAATGCTTCTCTTGGCTAAAGGTTTATTGATTCTATTTTTATTACAAGAAAAGTATTCATTTTACTGATCATATATATTACATATAATATTACATTTATAATATTTATACAGAAAATGTCATAACACTTATAACATTTATAATATTATGTTATAACTATATGCATTAGATGTATATATGTGTGTGTGTTTCCGTTTCATTTTTCCTGCTTTGTTTTCTATTATTTTATAACAGTGTCTGGTTTATTTTTGCTTTTTTGGTCCTTTACATGTACTGTCATATTGATTATGCGGTATCCTTTTAATCTTTTGATGCAGTCCCTCTGATATTAATTGCCCAGTTGTTAGAAGGGGAACCCTTTTGGAAGACAAAGTGAGAGAAACAATTAAACTCATGGACCTTTCCTAGAGTTTCTCTGTTTCATGTTTCTAAGAAAGCTGGAAGGCAACTAAATAGTTCACAGGGACACTAGAATAGTAGAGCAGGTGATTCAGGAGTGAACTAAGTCTAAGCCATGTGACGGCATTGGGCCTTGGTCTTAGAAACTCCATTCTACTGCGTACAGCCTCAACTTGAAGAAAACGTCAGCCCAGTTTCTAAAGCTCAAGCCAAATACAGTATGATGATCCAGATACCTTATTTCAAGTGTGCACTTGGTTTTTTTTTTTTTTCCTGAAGCCTTTTGCTTTCAAAAGGAAATATAAAGTCTGTTTTTATTCTGCTTTATTTCTAAGCCAGGAAATACTAAAACCCTAAGAAACCTCCTGTCATAGGATTTGTAACTAAACATGTTAAGGAGATAAGTATATACAAAGAGAGAGAGAGATTTCAAGTCACAGATTGCATTGTTTATGACTTAAAAACAGAGCATAGTTTATATTCTTGTGAGTCTAAGGCAAACACTCTTACGATACAAGGCAAACACAGTTTCCAGAGCTAACAGAAACACATATTTAAAACATACCTGCTTAAAATTGGGAGACACATTTCCATAATTTCAAATACTTCATTTATTTATTAAGAACCTTCAATGAATAGACCATTGTACTAAAAACATGAAAGGAAACAACAGAAGAATGAAATAAAAAGAAAAAAAGGCAATCACTGGCCTCAGAAATCTATCCAAGGGCTTAAACATTGAAAAGAACTTAGGATAAATTATAAAGCACCACATGATTTCTTGGTCTTCAAAGGGGGGGTACCACTCATCTCTCAGAAAGTATTTAAAATTTTGAATTAAAAATTGCTAATTCACAAATACTTCATAGTCCATAAATTTCATCTTAGAATAAAGTACAACTAACATTTTAAGTCGTCTGGTCATATCCTTCTTCTCTAATCTTGGCTACTGTTGATGAAAAAATTCATTATTTTCACTGAAATCCCCTGTGGATACTCACTGAAGTCTCCCTCAAGCTACCAAACCTGTATTTCCTGCTTAAATACTTAGTGACCCTGAAACTCTCTCTTCATTTCTGTTTTTAATATTAGACATCAACTACTACTTCTCTTCACTCCTCCCAGGAGC